TCTGCTCAATGCTGCAACCGGTGTTATGCGGAGTCTGCATGACAGTGTTATTTCTTTGGAGAAGCGGCGTCTCTTCGAGAATGATGTGGCATACCAGGTTTTTGTGGCCAAGGTGCCAGAGGGCAAGGGCTTTGTCGATAGCACCATCGGGGGTATGATCATCCTGCGATTTGATGACATCTTCGCTATGTTTAACCTTCATCCGCTGCACTACACCTTCATTCGGCTATTTTCGCTAAGTATGGAGATGCGGATCATTAGAGACAAGACCCCGGACATCGTGATAGTCGACCCCTTCTACATGCGTGCCAAGATCTTGGGCAGCGCTGGGGACCGGCAAGTCGCGAGTTCATACCTCGAAGGCGTCATTCTGGCAAACCCAGATAAGGATAACTTCCTTGTGCCTTACTTTCCCAAGTAAGTCATCCCCTCACCGCCCCGTAACATACTATTTCTTAGATTTCGATCGTTCTTTTTTTTCTAATATTCCGTGTTTTGTGCAGTGACACACATTGCACACTCATCCTCGTAAGCCCGAAATATTCCATGGCCACGTATTTCGACTTGGACCGTCAGTCGAAGAAAGACTACACAAATATCAAGAAAGTTCTTGATGAAGCTCTTCCCGGCTACGCCAGATCTGGAGGCACCTTCAGCAGGCCAATTCGTAGGTACGGCAAGCATGTGTTCACCCACAATACGATGTTCCCCTCCGTCAAGCAGCCGCCTGGCGGTCAGAAGGATGCCTACTACGCCCTCCATCACATGCGAGTGATCATACGGGACCATAATCACCTCCTGCTACCAAATAATCTCAAAGATTGGGCCGCACGCTTGTCGGCAATCCAGGACGCGGACATCAGACAAGAATTCTTTTGCATCCAGTCGGAGTTTGCGGAAATCTTCCATCAAGATGTCCTTCGTACCTCGGGGCAGTTCTACCTCAGATATCAACCATCCAACAGTGAGATAGAAACAACGCTACAAATGCAGACTGACAACGACCGCGATTTTATGACCATCACGGTAGACGGCGGCTTCATCCACGCTCTGGTCCCTGAGTCGAGTCGAAAGTAGTGATGCTATGTAGTTCTGAAATATCGATTAGTAATTAAACTTTAATGAACTTGTATGTCTCTTTAGTTTGGACAGTCATTCAACTTATATGTAATCGATGCTATTTATTAGTAGGACCATGAATCGTGTTATTAATGTGTTGCTTTTCTCTTCCGATCCTTTTGTTGCATACTTATATATTGCTTATGCATTGTTTGTGAATTGCTACTAACGTTTTGTTTGTCTAGTGCATAGAGATGCCATCATATGTCGTGTACAAGGGTAAGGTTTCCGGAGTCTACGACGACTGGGAGTGTCGGGGACAGGTTCACCGTTTCAGCGGTAACAGTTACAAAGGGTACACCACTAGGGCGGAGGTGGAAGCTAGATACGCGCGCTATCTAGCGGGAGAGAGGAGGGAGCGTTGGAGGAACCAGATGAAGACCAGTTTCATCACGATGATGCTCATCGTGATGACCGCAGCTCTCTTCTATGTGATGGTAGTTTAGATGATCGATATCGACTTGTAATGTGAAGACAAACTCGCTACTCGCGGTCTCGAGACTTGTAATGTTCTAACTTTGTTCGGTATTTTGAATTCGGAGACTAATATGATGAATTGTATTCGATAAATCTGTTGTTTATATGTTGTGCTGTCTATATTCTGTGCAGTAATGTATTTTGTAACCTGTGCAAATATCAGAAAAGAAAAATATCCTAATATTCATAGTAGTGGCGCACCGTATTGCACTTTAGTGGTGCACTGTAATAAACACACCAGTGACGCATTATACTAAAATGCGTCATTAGTAACCCAAAGCACAAGGTAAAGATGGCCCCCTGGGAGGCATAGTAATGGTGCACATGTGGACATAGTAATGGCGCACTGTGTGGTGCACCACTATTATCTCGGATACTAGTGACGCAGCAGAGGTGCGCCATTACTATTTGTTACTAGTGGCGTGTTAATAGTGGCGCACCTATAGTGCGCCGTTAATAGCAAAAACAGATGTGCCACTAACATCCCTTTTTCTAGTAGTCATGGCATAATAGGGATGTTGTGGTGGACTGTATGCATGTTGAGAGAAGATTTAAATGCATGGCTTACTTGGAGTTGACGTGAACACTTTGCATGTCGAGAAAATTGGAATGAACTTTTTAAGAATATAGGATGAAGAAAGAGAGATATCATATCTCAATATCTTAATATAGAGACAGCTCTTAGCGTCAAACTCAAGATAACCCAGGTCTTTTCTATCACAAAACACATTAAATAAGAGATTTTGTAGACACAGTACCGTAAGATACAAATCCTTAGGCTGGTCGTAATGGTAGTATCATAGCTAGTATCATGCATGTCAACTAGGCAATTTTGATGAGGTATTATAGCATTAAATGAAGAAAGAGAGGGTGAAATATCATATCATGATACCGTATCATAATAAATGATATGCTACTTTGTGTCATGCATGGCAATAAATAGAGTACTACATGATACTACCATATGATACTATGCATTAGGGAGGTAGTATCATACACTAGTATCATATGCATGATACTAGTATATGATACTTTCCATTACAACCAGCCTTAAAGAAGTTGTGTCTAAATGTGTATGATCTGCTTAAGATACAATGCGTTAATATCACCTTGCCCCCTCAACTACACGGCTGTCCACTACCAATACGTTTGCATGAAGCATTAATAATTTTTTGGAGAAATAGAAATACATGAAGCATTACGTAATATCATGAGAAAGGAAGGCAGTCATCACAATGGAAAAACTAATATCATGCCTTGAAACGGGCCTAGAAATTGCACCGAGGATATTAAATGCTTGGAGTAATTCATCCAAAAAAAGAAAGATAAGTATTACGGCACAAATTAGGCATAAAAACCAAAAAAGCATCTAATAAAAACGCGCCCAGAAAAACTAAGCAAAATAAGTACATGCATTACATCCCCCCTCCTATATACCGCCTCAAACGCCTCCGCCTCGACCGATCCCATCTGATCGACCACCTACACCGTCCCAGATCAAACAGCCGCCAAGCACAAGCACCACGGGCGTTCCACCGGCCATGGCGCTCCGGCAGCTCTGCCTCTGCGGCCTGTGCGTGCTCCTCCTCCTGCAGGCCGTCCCGTCGGCCTGCGGCGGGCGCAGCCCCCCGCAGCCGTGCTACAAGACGGTGACGGGCGTGCCGAGCTGGTGCGCGGGGGAGTTCATCCTGGCGCTCTTCGACGGCGTCAAGAACCACCCCATCAAGGAGTACTGCTGCGTGCAGCTCGCCTGCGTCGGCGAGCCGACGTGCGCCTCCGTGCTCCGCGGCGTCTGCCCGCCCCCGAAGCAGTATCTGCCGTGCCCGCCGCACCAATACACGTAGCCTATATACATATATACATACAAGCGTGCGTGTGTGTGATGCGATCTGCAATTCGACCGTAATCTGGTCGTGCCTGGACGTTGTGCGCGGAACTGTAATAATCGATATGCAGTCCTTTTCAGTGTGGGACTAGTACTCCCTCCGTACCAAAATATAAGACATTTTTGCAGTTCAAATTAAATTGCAAAAACATACTCCCTCTGTCATTTTGATGAGAAATATTTTCGGACGGAGGGAGTAGTATAAAAGTCTACGGGGATGTCACTCCTGTCCCGCTCCCTGCTCGGCAGCTACCACTTCAGCAAAATGAATCGAGCGGAGATGCATGAGAAGAAAATATTGTTGACATCCTCTGCAACCCACGCAATGGGCCTGGATACCTGTGTTGCGAACTTGTATCACTTGTACTCTGCTCTGAGAGGGATCTCGTTTTCGTTTTTGATTTACTACTACGTTCTGATCACTGAAGCAGACGCGTAGTTGTCATCAACTGCTACTACAAAAGTTCTTTTCCAATGATCAACAACTGCACAACAGGCATATAATCTGCAACAAACGAACAAAATCACCAAGCCAGGAAGTAAGACGTTTGCCAAAATTTGGCAGCACAAAACCAAACGAGTTGCTCTTGCCAAGAAACCGGGATCAAACAAGCTCCAGGTTCCACGCAGAAGGATAAAAATCACACAAATACAATGAAGACGAACAGTTAGCAACGACCAAAACAAAACCACCACATTACATGATGAACTGCAACCATCTCAGTTAACATTTACTCCCTCTGTCCCATAATATAAGAGCATTTTTGACACTAGCGTACTATCAAAAACAATCTTATATTATGAGACGGAGGGAGTAGAACACAACGATTCATGCAACCATCTCAGTTAACATAGAACACAACGGTTCATGCAACCTTCTCAGTTTAACATCTAGAACCTTCTCAGTTTAACATCTAGAACACGACGGTTCATGCAACCTTCTCAGTTTAACATCTAGAACCTTCTCAGTTTAACATCTAGAACACGACGGTTCATGCTACCATTGTAACTGTACATGTACAACCTACTCACAACCCGCTCCCCTACTATTCCTCCTAGACGGTGCAAAAAAAGGAAGCCCAAATGCTTCCCACAACAATACTCTCTGCAATTAGTACAAAATGAATTACAAAAATAGCTGGACGACAAACTGCTCATCCTTGTTTACAGCAAATCCGTCTAAGTCAATGGTATGGCCCATAGTATTGTTCCTTACATTCCACATTGCTAAAACGTTTATAACGACTTGTATAACCGACCATGTCTGTTCCTTGCAATCAACATTGTTCGCAACAATTTGCATCTGGACAGCATAGACGAAGCACTGCTGAAGGGTTTATCCTGTCGGTGCCCTTCCGCCCCAGCAAACCTGTCTAAAGCCATGGAGTGAGGCATACACGCTGAATGGTTCAAATATGCCCAGATACATCTTCCTGCTTCAAGAAAGCGACTTGTTCGCAGGTGCGCGTCACCAAGTGAAATCTTGTTATGTGACAATCATCAAGACACCCGCAGGAACCTACTTCCGATGCTTCCTTTTTGCTTCAGTCCTTGGCCTCTTCTCCTCTTCCCACTCTCTATCATGTGTTCTGCAATTTAACCAAGGATTGTTAGGGAAACAGAACTTATAGAAGCCATGAGTATATACATAAAAAAATATCTATACAAGAAATTGCGGTTCACACAGAAGCCATTACATAAACTTTTTACTTTTGTGCAGATTTAGAAAGAACATCAACCTATGTAATCATCTTCTGCAGCCTTATTTCTAATATATACCTTACTGCTGCTACATTTTTAAGGAAAGAAATTAAGCCTACTCATATCAATGTGACTACAAATTTATAGCAAAAAGCTCAAGCTACACTAAACCAACAGAAAGGTCAACACAAATTTAAAATGCTTATGACAAAACGAAGAATCACGCTGTTAAAAGGTGCTTCAAAAGAAGAGTATATTGTATTGAACAAGAGTAAGCTTCGAGCGCTCCCTATTTCTAAGTAGTAAGTACTCCCGCCGGTCAGAGTGTATAGGGCGTGCCCGTGTTCCTAAGTCCTCAATTTAATATTTAATAACTAATAAAATATATGTTATATGCCACCAAAAATATATATGTTTAGAAACTTTATTCGAAAACGAATCCGATGATACAGTTTTAGATGGATATATATAACAAATGTTTCATCAGTCAAATTGAGAGCCTAAAAACCCACACCGACGCTATAAACACATGGTTTCAGAGTCGCGCGACTAGTTGACGAGTCACACTGCCAGGGTTGACTCAAACCCCTTGACTAGTCGAGACTAGACGCAACTCGTCGACAGGCCAGGCTCGACTCGTCACGAGTCGCTAGCGCTGAACAACTTGTCGACTCATTGACTCGAAAACCATGTATAAACCCGACCAAAGGGGGTACCAATTCTGCATACACCAGACATTGACCTTGGTTTTGGTAGAGCTAGGATTTAACGGTGTCGCCCATATGGCTAAAATTGGTCATAAATCTCATAGTTCTCTATCAATGGAAACAAATACTTTGGATGCTAGCAATTCTTGGTAAGTCATTACTCCATTGAACTGTCTGCGTCACGCAGCTATTTGTGTGCTAACAAAGTGACAACCATTTAGTTATGTGTTTCTCTACATCATTATTGCACACGAGTATTTATGCTTTTCAGTTGTTAAACCACCTTCGAGGTAGCTTTCTAAATAGTGCTAGCTTGGGAACACAAGTGATTAGTTACCAGCCATACCGTACCTAGCTAAGTGCATGACACCATGTTACCTATTAAAATTTATGAAGGTGCAATGGTGAGTTTCCTACATACTTTACCTGCATAAGGACTTGTAACCTGGGAATGCAATCATTATTTTATTTGACTAAATATTGTTCTTCAATTTAGAAACAGGCAGGCCGGCAGCATACTAGAAAAGGTTAAAGGAAAATTGCGCCACAATTTGCACAAGATATTGCAGTTCACGATCTTGTATGTGCAGAGCATCTGAAATTTAAGGGGTTTTTTTTGTAAAAGCGATGATTTTGCAACTTCATTCAGTCGATACAAAACTGATCCTTCCCTAAAACAGATTGAGTGTTTCACATGACAGCTAATAAGGTATAAATAACACATTGCAAAGTGGAAACACTTGTAATGCATGGTTAGTTCAATGAGATCATTGTTTCCTAAACTTACTGGTCAGCCTCTCTACGACTTGTCTTGCTTGTTGAATCCTTGGCATGCATCCTAGGAAGGTCATCAGCATGTGATGGCCGATGCTGTGAAATAGCACCCTTTCTTTCTCTCTCTCGTATTTCAAACTGTGAGTTACCAGGTCCAACGCTCGGAGGCTGTGGAGCAGAAGGCGCGTATTCCCCAGCTTCCAAAGCAGACTGTTCTCTTTTAACCTTCCGCCGTTTGGATGCACTATTAGGATCACTATCTTCTTTCACAGTATTAACTTTGTCCCTATCCCTGTCGTCTACCTGCATAAGTAACAAAGTATTAGAGGTCAAGCAAGAATGTCCATTACAATCCCAAGAGTGATTTGCATGCCAAGTCACATCATAAATGCCATAGAACTGTTCAGTAGATGAGTAAGTACAGAGCACAAGACACGGATAAACTTTTATAGATATAACTGAACTAATGAGCAAATAAATTATCACAGATCACAGAAGAGTATTAGGAGGTAAAGAAAAGTTTACCTTGCTTGATGAAACATCCCTATCTTCACGCTTTCTATCCCGGAGATCTTCCTCTCTTCGGTGCTTCCCATCATCCTGTGAGAGCGGAGCATTCTCCTCCAAGTGCCACCTTTCTTTCTCATCACGCCTGGGAGACGACCGTTGGGTATGCCTGGTGCTGCTGCCCCTTCGGTCACTGTCTTCATCTCTTCGGTTAGCAGCGACTGATTGGGGTACAAAACTAGTTGGAAGAGGTGGAGGTGGTGGCAAGCTTTGCCCTCGGAAGCGTTCATCAGAAGTATGTGCTCGGTCTATGGGTTCATGCTTAACAGTATGTGCTCGGTCTATGGGTTCATTCTTAATAGCATATGCTCGATCTATGGGTTCATTCTTAATAGCATATGCTCGATCTATGGGTTCATGCTTAATTTTGTTCCTCTCCTCCTTATTCCTGTCTTCTCTTCCTTTTTCAGGAACTCTGTCTTGCATCTTTTCAATAGAACGCTCTCTCCTTTCCAATGATCTGTCTGTTGGTCTTTCAACCACGTCTTCTCCACGGCGCCTCTCGGACCGGTCTGCTTTTTCTCTATGATCTCTGTCATATTTATCATCGAACTTTTCTTTTAATTTCTCTGCCCGAATTAGGTTTTGTTCCTCACTAGCACCTCTCTCATGATCCACAGAACGAGATTTATCTACTGATCGTGAGTCCAATTTTTTTTCTTTGTCCGTATGGTGCTCCGTCAAGTCACCATCCCTGCCTTCAATCTCTCCTTTCCTTCGTTTACCTGTCCTCTCTTGTTCTTCAACGGGAACAGATCTTTTTTGCTGTTTCACGGTAGAATCAATCAAGTCAGCAGATTCACCTTCACCGGTGGGATTAGCTGTTCCACCGCTATGTGCAGCCAATACTGTTGATCTTTGGGAGGATGCAGATACCTTTCGTGGTGCCGGATGTATATTACCATTTGTGCCAACCAACGGACTAGTGGGATTAGTATCCAGCACACCATCAGCTGCCTGAGACAATACTTCTCTGTCAACAGGAATAGCAGAGGTTTGTTGATTAAGACCCCTGCTAGTAGATCTCCCAGGTTTTGCATCTTCCTTCACCACATCATGCTTAGATACCTTTGCAGCATTTTGTACAGCACGCTTTTGTGCCGCTCTTGTCTGTTAATAAAAATGATTAGAACAATGCAAACCAAATGTCCAGTACTAAAAGGCTCACTAATAACTGCTATGTTCCATGACATACTAAAGGACCATAAATAGAACAAGGGGATTTTGTGCTACCAAGAACACCTCAAGCTGTTGTTTAGAAAATTCCACAAAAAAATGTTGTGTTATAAAGTTTTGAAAAATTCCTAAAATTTTACACGTAGAAATACACTTAGCTACTTATAAAAATTCCTGAAAAAGGTACATCCATCTGCGGAAAAAAGACAAGAATGAAGGGCTAAAATAGAAAATATTTTTTCACCATTTATAGTGTGTGGACAGGTCCATAAAATGCTAATTTTGTACTAAAATGTACAAATACACATACTATTGCCATATGCGCATTTTAGAAAGTTTTTGCGATCCCAAAACCCTTTATGGAGTCAAGCTCGCATGAGCTTTTCCTATAAATTACCCAATTGTTACCGTCCACATTATAAACTGAGAGGTACCTCAGGTTCTGCAGTAGGCTTCAAGACTTTAACTCCATCATCGGACAAAAGTTTCAGAGGTTCATCCACACCACGTGCAACCCCTGAACCTTTTCCTTGTGCAGAGGAAGATGGTATTTGAATATCAGATCCGTTTGTAGTCGAGGCATTCTTCTTATGGGCATCAGGCTTCATTGCATTTTCTGACCTTTCATGCCTACCCTCTACAGATTTTGCACGAACGCTGTGATCTTTTGCTGTCGAGGGATCTGCATACTGATTTCCTGTAGGATATCCAAGGAATAGTTATGCTCCAGTTAATCATAGTGGTTGTGGAAAAAAACTGTATCTTCTACTTACCAGCAATAGGTATTGCAGGCACTGGCTTCAGATCAAGGTGACCCATGCCAAACTCTTCTTCAGATACCCATGAACTCTGCATAATAGTCAGGAAATCCACACATACATCTCATAATCATGCACAAAGGGGAGTCTCCTGATACAGAAAAAAGGCACAAGCAAAGAAGTGGTAACACTTACCTTCCGAGCTGCCAGAGCAGCAGCTACACCAGTGGCCAGTACTTTCAGATCTTCTCTCTCATCCCCCTTTAGCTTCGCAACCTGGTAAACATATTTGTGAGCAATAGCCCAGCAGCATATCATAAATGCTGACTAATGATGTATTTACCCTTTTCTCAATGTTGATACCGCTTTTTCGCATCACAGGAAAAATACTAGTTATCTTTGTGAGAACAATAAGGGCGTTTCTGATTTCCATGTATTCTTTTGATTCCATACATTGATTAAGCACCTTGGTAATTCTTCCACTCCATTTCCAATGAACCTTTCAAAAGTACAGAAAAAAGATGTTCAAAAACATATGCAAAGAATGTAGCAGGACAACAGCACAAAATTTTGGATATTAGAGATTCACTTGTGCTTATTATTTTTGTTAATTCAATTCAGGTGACGTGAATAAAAAATGTAGAGAGCAAAGCAGCACATGGCAATAATAGATACTAGGATCCATGAAAGCATGCTGAATTTATACCTGGATTCAAGAAACAGAAATTTCACCAAGAAAAATGTACAGATGCTCACAAATAATAAGTATACGCAGTGGATCATTTTGTACATGTACAAATACATATACACATCATTGAAAACTTGCAGGTATTAACATTTTATTAAAGAGGTAGCCACTACACTACTGTTGCACAGCTCACATGTGACCAAATGTACAGCTCAATAAAGCCAACACGTCTAGCACATGCAGCAACAACTGCCACATCTGAAATTCCTTTTAAATAGAAAGGCTACATGATAGGGCAGCACCACAATTCATGAACTGAGCGCCAACACGTTGGACATGAAAAAGAACATGGGGCTTGGTTACTAAGAGCAAGTTAGCTTGCCACATTTTTGCAAATGTAACGAGCTGACATACTATGAGTAGAAATATTTTATTCCTGAGGAAGCATCCATATCTAGGAATTAGCATGCTCACAGACTCACACAATGTGCCATTTTATGAACACTGGAGACACCAGATTTAGATTGAATGAAAAGACAGTTTGTGAATTTGTGAAGAAGTTCATTTGCAAAATTGTGAATCCATTAAATAGCCCATCAAAATCTGGTGTGGAACAGTTTACACTATACAGTAGGAGTTGGCACCTAAACATGGTTTTTTGTATTTAGAGCTAAGACAGAACGAAATTTATTTTCATATGCTCATCTATGAAGCAACATAATAGATTTATTTTCTATGTTGATTACATGCCTAACAAGAACCTTACTTGTGCACCAGATTGTGCTTTTATACTTCAAATAACCCCTAGGAACTCCTATGAATTGGCATACAACCGTATCATGCAACTTGAGTAAAACTTAGTCCTAAAATTTTAGTAATGGTGATCAAAGCACAGAACAGGCTTTCTATGTTTCGATCACCACTACAGTTTTTAGGACCAAGCTGTACCAAGGAAATGACAAGCATACAGAGCTTAATTATGCGACACACATAACTTCAAGGAGTGTGTAAAGCATACTTTAACGAACTGAGGATAAGATACGCGTTGACTATTTGGAAATCTGAAGTATACAGCGAATCCCGGCTTATTTCCACATTCACGCTCATATACTGATTCGTCACTCTGCAAAAAGTTGTATTATGCAAACTCAGAAGCACAAAAACAACGTAATAACCATCAGGAAAGCTATGGCGAAGAGTGTATAGCACACTTGAATCAAAAAGCTACCTTCCAATGGTAAGCCATCTTCAGGGTCTCATGAAGAAACCTTCCAAGCCTGCCAGCCTCATATTCGGTACAACAACAGATCATTGGCTGTAGTGTCTTGCAGATGAAAACATCTATATGATTCACCGTGTTGAAAAATGGAGTCCCAAGTGAATGCATCATCTGGACGAATGTAGCACAATACACAGCATCCTGCATGCTAAGAACACAGCGTGGATATATGCACCGCTGGAGAAATTCCATGTTGATCTTCAGTGCGTCCGGACTGGAACTCAGCCATTTATCCTTTTCACGGGTTAGCCTTTGGAGCACTGATATAACGTGCTGTTGATGCTTGTCAGATTCATTGTTCAATTTGTCCAGCAAATCTTGGATTCTCTCCTTGTCCTTCTTATGCCGTGATATTGCAATGCTAGAGTTATCTGAGCTATCTTCAAGTTGTTTGAGATTTTCATGCAGCTTCTTGATTTCTGCATCATAACGATCTTTTGGAAAATGAAGATCATACAGTGTTAAACCCCAGAAAGTAGCATACAATTCAGGTGAAAGACCGTTCCACGCTTTTGCTGGCAAAATTGTTCGGATTGTGTTGAGAAGATCTGACCACCTGTAAGAAAACAGAATACAGCAAACTACATATGATCAAACCTAAAATACTATCAATGAAGTTCAACCAAGTCCATTTAGAAACATAAAAATTGAACCAAAGTTAACTTCAAGGAGGCTTAAACAGTTAAATTATAAGTTTCTAAAAGCAATCATTCTTAAGGCATAAGGTAGGTTCATTTTCTAGCCAATACTGGACAACTCATGGGCAACCAAAAGCTTTAATAAAAATTTGCCTAGCCAATTGTATGGTAGAGCTAAGTTGGCTCAAACCAAACATACCCATAGGAGCTATTTCCCTACCAGTTTCCAAGGACACAAGATCTTCACTTATCTTTTAGTGGTAAACAGGAGAGGATCTATTCTCATAATTGTACCCCGATGTTCTAAAGGGTGCATATTTTATCTGAACTTGCCATCCTTTGTAATTTACTTCTCAATTTATTTTCAACATAAACCCAAAAATGAAAATGGAATAACTAAGACGTGCTATTTTCAAGCTCCCAGAAACACTTGTACCCTTTGTTTGGAAGAAGAAAAATCAAACAGTGTATTTGGAAGTTCCAACAAAAACTGACAAGAAATCACACTACAATGTGTTCATTTGTGGTCTGCACAATAAATAAATGGACAATGGACTAAACTAGTACAGCAACTATCTGTAAAACCTTTTTTTCATGGACAATGCGTATATTTGCATGAAAATTTGCAAGTGCACAGAGTATTGCAATATTTCCATGTGAGGGTTTTTTGACAATATTTTGCAATGTGGATTTCGTTAGACATGTGTAGGTGAGCCAGGCGTTGTCTGTGATGACTCATACCATTGAATAGATGATTAAACGACTCTCCACAGATGTTCATAAAAGCTTACATGATTGACTTCTGAGATGAATCGCCATGCAAGATCATTTCATCATATGATACAGACTCCCCTTCATTGTCATCCAGAGGCCAACAGGCCTCGCCACCGTTAGCGCTTCTGAAAAGCCTCATTACAGGCCGGTATATAAGAAAAGCAACCTAGAATGAAAAAAAATGCTAAGATGTTTACTCAAGTGGAGGCATGATAAAATTATGAAATCAGCTCGCACATTGAAAAAAAAATGGAGTGCACAAGATATGAGTGTATTACGTCTGGCTCGATATGATATTTATAAACCAGATCTTCCAGCGGAGGTATTAGTTGAACATAGGTTGATGGAGCTATGGCACTTGAAAGAAACTCGGCATACTGAAGTAGTATTCCATGGCATCTATCGAACTGCTCGCTAACCATTTTGATATATGTGGCATCTGCATTTATTATAATCCTGAAAACAATAGCAACATTATCAAGTTTAAAAGAGCAGTGCAAAGAGTAAGAACTTAATATGACAAGCTTTAGGCTAAAACATGAATCCCAGAATGCAGATAATAAAGCTTTACATAATTGTTGCTTTCTAGATATTTTCTTCGACATATATTTCCTAAAAAGTAATTGCATGATTCCAGAAATTCAGTAAAGAATTGCATTCAATTAGGATGCATCTATAATAACCATCAGTCTGTTACCTATATGAAATAAAGTCCACTTAGTTGAGAGAGCAGAACAAAATAAGGAGGGGGGAAAGGGCACAAAAGATTTAGCAAGTTGGAACAAAATCTTACTTGGATCTGTGTTGGGCAATGAGCAGTAGTAGAGGAATTGCAAGTTTGGGTTCATCTTTTGGAAGCAAAGAATCCCGCAATTTGTTAATAGACTTATTCAGGACCTACAAAAAACGATTTGGTAAGCTGTTTATTTGACCTTATCATGAAATAGAGAAAAGAAGCCTTGATTCTTCGCAAAACCTTATAGTTCCGTGTTGATCCAAACAGCGAAGATTGAAGCCGCAACGTTTCACTTCCTGCCATAGCATCAACCTGTTCATCAGTCATGTTCTCAGTGTACTGTACATTTGCCATTTGCTGAATGAGTTCCTGCATGGTACATCAATTTAAACTTCAGATTCATACAATACAAAAGCAGCAAGAAAGTTTCGACATAGCCAACAAACCTCAAGTACAACAAGCTCAGTACCCAATCCTTTCTTCAGTTGATTAACTATGTATTGGAAGAGGCATTTAAGCTCCATGGAATGATGCTTCTTGCAGCTGTTAAAGTTTATTTGTTCAGAATAGAAGCATAAAGATAAAATTGAAGACAATAATAATATTGGGAAGGGAAGCACAAGCCCCCCAGTGATTATAGAACTACTGCTTGCATTTTCAAAGCATTAACATTAAATGTAATTAACAAATAGTAACAAGGATCTGGAGTCTTGGCAAATGGTGATATTTCATTGTACACTTCTGTAGACGCGATGTCATAATGAGCAAACAAATGAGAGGGGAAAACTCAAGATTATGCACAAGATAATGGCAGGGGGTCCTTAGTGGTAAAACAAAAGGTAAACCTCTAAATATTTAGTTTGTAGATTGGTTACCTAATGCTGCATTAGCATATCTAAAATCATTGTCACGAGTGTTTGACATAATGTATAGCAAGCTTAGCTAACGATGCAAGAATGCAAGTACGAAAATCTTTGTGATATTTATTCAAAAGAAATTGCATCCTGCTCAGATATTCGTTACATTAAGTTTGATGCTAACCACTACAACACAGAAAAATGTCAAAAGCTCAAAGCAAATTTTAAATGGTTATAGTACCAGATCATTGTTTGTTCTATAAAAGCCATATGACAAAAGCACATAATATGCCTAATAAGCAAGAAGATACATGACTGAATGTCACTGGATAATCAAGTTTAACTAAAGTACACCACATCATGTTTTGTGTAACTAATATGATCACAGGCAGGAGCCAAAACTACATACAGGTGTCCCCAGAATGATGCCAGACACTGAAGCCAGTCTGACAGGTTAAGGCCGTCATCCTTTACTTTCTCACGACCACCTTGAGCCAACCGTTCGATTACAATATATTGCAAAATATCATATTCCAGCTGTAAAAGAAGCACATTTAGACAACGGTGTAAACTTGACATAGAAGCAATTGAAAGACACATGCAGAACAATTACAATCAACTCTAAAAAGGGCATGAGCATCTGTATAAAACATGCATCACATACGCAGCCAATACCTGAGTCAAGTATTTAAAAGCATCCACAACTGGATTTATCATGTCCCTGTATGCTTCAACCTGAAAGTTGTGACAATGTAGAGGTAAAAAGATGAAGGAACTGAAGATAAAGCATAATTACACAAGTCAAGGAAGGATTGCAATTAGAAAGGTGAGCTTCCAGAATCATTGAATTGTCATAATTAACCAATTAAAAATAATATATTCATAAATCATTTGGTCAGACTACTAATGCAAATCGGTTGCTTCATTAAGTGATGTGTACCCATAAGGGGCAGGTTCCCTCTGCACATGTACACAACTACATATACCATTCTATTACTAATATGGAGGAGCAGTAGGAGGCTCTTATGCTTTCTGGTCCAAAATGTAAATAAAAAAATTCGCTCCATTGACATTAATCATTTGCAAAGAACCCCCCCCCCCAATGTACGTTAACCACAACTGACTCCTTAAAGGGATGGCACAGGGCCTGCTGCAAGCTTATAGTTGATAAGGAGCATACCCATTGGCAGATCTAGTGCACAGAGAGCTGATGTGGCCAGGGTTAAAACTACAGTATGCACTCGGTGAGTTCAGCATCTAGGCTAAAAACATAAAGAGCCAAATACAGTCCAAATGGAGCTGCCAGCAGATTTAACGGTTGGCCATCTCCAACATCAAAGAATTAATATCACATGTTTCAGATATGACTACAGTATTTATTATTGCTTTGAATATTGCATGTGCATTGTTGGTTCAAAATACCTGTTGGACAATTGTCCGAAGCACAGTCATTGGATTTGCATGAGCAAGTTTAGCCACCATGCGGCCAAGCTGCTTCAGATTTTCCTTGGCCAGCCGTTTTAAGAGCCGTCTGGTGTCCAGCTAATTGAGAAAATAAGGATGCTGGTGAATTTAAAACTCAAGATAAAATGGTAGGCGAAAGAAAGAAAACCCAGGGCATGGAATAAGCAGGCAACCTTTGCTGTTTGCCTTGCAGCAAGGACAATTGGGTTTTGTTCAGTGTCCTTCTCCCACTCACCATACAAACGATAGCGCACCTAAACATGAACAGTGCCAGATTGATTAAAAAGGTAGTGCAGTACAGCAAGTAACGACCAGGAAGCATGACAGACCTCATAAGGAAGAAGGGAAAGAACTCCCCACATCTCCATATCAACAGCAGGATTGGCAGGTATAAGCTGCAGTGAAGGAAGCAAGCATGACCCAAGTGCTTCTTCAACCTGAGATTCTGGAGACATTACACCTGCTGTACGGGCTGATTCTTTTGACGAGGCATGATACACCTTTAACACTCTGCAAACCTGAAAATGAACACATCAAATGTGCCATTAAATAACAATATCCAAAAAAAATTGCCACTAGATTGCTCCAAGCGGAAGTGCATAATTGCAAGTAAAGGTGTTCATAGTCATATGACCTTTCCTAGTCTTGAGGATGGGATTGGGGGTGTTTGTGTGCTATGATTGTATAATAGTCAGTGATAACTGGTGTTAATGGCTTTGTGTGCTAATCCGTGCTAATTTGGTGGTTGGTGGGAGATCTAGGGAGTGAGATAAGGGGAAATGCTGAAGATGCTCTTAGAGCATTTGCATACGACAGCTGAATGCAGCAGATAGACGGTGGACGTAGGCACCAGCTCAAAAATATGATCTGCATCAGGGATGGCCATTTTTTACTTTTTAATTTATTACAACAATGCAAGTGAGGAAGCAAAATCCTGGTCATAACAACCACTGATGAAATGAACTCGTGATATGGACATATGGTATTTTGTAGTTTGCACAAAATGTATATAACAAACTAATAATCTATGACATAAATGCAGTGAAGAAAATCTCAAGCATATCCAATAAGGCAGCACGATATTGAGCAGGTACTAATACAAGAAGAATGCAACACAAAAAGATTTAAGGTACCTTCTGGAATAATTGTGTGTCACGGTGAAGGTATGGTCCACAAGCGGCAAGCATTTGGAAAAACTCCTTTGGCAGATCAACCAAATAACTTGGTGAAGAGACAGATGATGCATCCAACATATGAGTGTTGATGTTACGGGTGATTTTATGATGTGTTTGACAATATGTACTGTAGGCTGACGAAATAGTCTTCTCAACAATTCTGCACAAATGGAAGTAGGATTGAACAACATAAATTGGGGAACTCAACCATTGCATTACAATAAACATACACGGACCATCATATGCCATATTTCACGGAAGTAGAGGCAATAGTATACAACTGCTAAGGCTGCTACTAGAATATGCAGAGGAAGTTGACAAACCTAAATAAAGCATCACAAATTTCAACGTGCTCGACAGGATTTAGCTGCGCAAGACGTTCAAATAGTAGCTGTGCATGGTCCCTGGCAAATAACAGCAGAAGTCAATCAGTGACATTTATAACATGTCAAAGAAGACATGTGTTTTACTGCAGATTTGAAATATACCAACTGAGCATAACAATGAAATGTTATTATAAGAAACTTTGCAATATTATAATACATCTTAAATCAATGGCACTAGAGATAATACCAATCATGGACTGAGAGGAAACCAAGAAGAAGTCCAAGCTTCTGGTTCTTTTCTATCTCAGGGGCTCGTTCATCAATTATATCATTTTCCATCTCCAGTGCTGTGTATAAATCGATCGTTATTTCTTGCTTCTCTTCATCCATAAGGTCCTTTCCAGTAGCAGCAAGATTTATTTTGCCTATTTTAGTAGCCTGGGATCAAGAAATAGATGAATAAACTCCATAAGTTGAATCCCTGATGTGTCCATAATTATTAAAGCGTATCGAAGACCAATGCAGGCATTTCATAAAGTAAGACCAAATCTGCATGCATAGCTTGAGATATGTCCAGTCACTAAAAACATGGTTACTGCAAACAGTGGAACAGCTTAATCAGTGTCTCTACTTGAGGTAACTACAAATATGACACTTCCTCAAAGCCAAAACTACAAGACGACAATCAAAAGAACAACTCTTATATGTTTGCCACTCGAGTTCCAATTTCAATGTGGCAACTTGTTATTAGTCCTCCCATGTAGTGATCCCTACAAGAACTATCATGGTATTTGCATAAACAGACTTTACACGGTAATGTTCGAAGTATCATGGTGTTTGCTTAAAGAGACTTTACACGTACTGCTTTCCTTTTTCAAATGGAAGTCGTTTTTAAAATCTAAAAATTGAAGCATAAAAATCATTGGGAATACATTGTAGTGACATTCATATAATTCTCATTTATAACCCTGAGGAACACAGCAAATCCTTTTTAGAACAGAATGGATTCAACAAGAAAATTATCCTAACCTCATCAATTTTCCTTGAAACAAAGGAGCCAAAATGCTCAAACGCCTCATCATCATTCGGAAGTAAATGAGCGTAGCTGAAACAGAAGCCATGAACGTGTCATGATTTATGAAATATCTGAGGTGCAGTTGAAAAGGATATAGCAACACAAACAGATCCAGAAGCAACACTAACTCATATTGATACAGCATAAAATGGCTAGGAAAATAAAAGCAAACAAGAACTTGAGACTACGGATATGGTCAGTCAGTTACTAAAATAACTAATATCATTGATACTACATATGATTGTCTTTCTCGGTATTGTAGTACTAACTATCTAAGGAAAATAACCTAAAAGAAGTCTAGTACTGCTCGTGTAAGTCATCACATAGATATAAGAAATGGCCATCAAAATAAGAGCAGAAGTAGAAGAGGGAACCGCAAAAGGAATGTAATGTTAAAAATACATGTATATAAACCTTACAAAAATATGATCTTCTCTTACTGCAGATATTTTTATGACAAAATATTTTTAAAATACTATTTAAGGAGGATGTCTGAAATAGCAGTTTGCGGTCAAGAAGTGTAGACAAACACAATAACAACTAGAGAACTTACAGATTATCAAGGTCAATAAGGCCAGATTTGACCAACAGCGCTGCTATTCGGAAAAGACCAGATGGAACAGGGCTGTTTACATCCAATTGTTGATAATATTGAAATTTAAACCCCAAAATTTGAGCAGCATGGGACTGTAAAAATGAGAAGCCGTAAGATTGGCTGAAAATACTGCATGAAGTATGGTAACAATCTTTACAGGCTGGCTAACAAAATACCTTTGGAAAAAGAGGTATAAGCTGATAAAAGATACTGTTGTCTGGATAGAGTTCAAAACATTCCAACACCTAGCAGGCAAATAAGAAAGAACATAATCAGATTATAGCAGTGACATACTTTTACAATATCAGATAACAATACCGGGATAAAAAAATGAGAACTCACAATGTCAAATACACGATTCGGGTCCAGGTCAAAATGTCCAATTAATGACTGTCACAAGAATATTATGTTATAATTGTTTACATGCTGAAATCATATGAGGAAGAAAGAAGATTCCAAGTAACCAACACCGAACCTTTACAATGCTGATAGTTGCTGAAGAAGTATTTTGGCAAGCCAAATCTGAACCTACTTGACAAAGTAGGGTTACCTGAATTCCAGACAAAAAAAAGCAGCTATGTCAAAAAATACACCATGCTCCAGTAAACCTTTTAGACACATCATTTACAAACTAAGCAAAGAATGGAACTAGCCATAAATCCCACATGGTTGCGATTTAGTCTCAAATAATTTCAAATTGGAAGTATAAGGAGTTAGAACACATGTGTGGAATTGTGGATATTTCCATCTCTAATCAATGTAACCACACTTACAATCGTTTATAGAAGTATCTAGATTATAGAGTTTACCCTCTAGATTTGGAATAACACGTGTTAGAAAACAAAGGAAATTTTGACTGCGGAAAACTGCACTTGGTTGACATTGCCATTCTATCACAGCCCAGACACTGAGACACGTCATAAAGTTGTGTGAATTTGCTAGTAGACACCAAAGTGTCTAATAACAAACAAGCATGGTTATGCTAGTGGTTTTAAGCAATAAAAAGTGTCCAGTAAATGACTACAACTTCATAATGTGGTTGGGCAACAACATCATTTTGTGGTGTCTCGGCATATGCTAATCAAGTGCAGTGTTCTATAGCAATTTTTCCAATAAATACTTTCAAAAACACAGGTTATTTGGCTTTCCAGCCTTCCCCTATTTAGCATTCCAGGTGTCCTACTATGTAATTTAGGATCAAATAATAAATCAAAGTCTGGAATTAGTTGATTGTTTTACACTCCCCTTGAACTGTAAATGCGTCCAGTCAGTAACTCAGATCAAATATTCTTCGGCAATTGAGAGCAGTATCACTCACCAAAGCATCAGTGAAGAAACTAGAGCACACTAAGGACAAATTTCTACGTTATGTTACTCATTTCAATTTCATAATATAGCATGAAGAAATAACAATGGTTACTGAAGTTCCAAAAAAACTTATGGAAGGAACCAATGCACGCACATCATTACAAGAACAAGAGGTAGAAGTTTCACAGGCAGATATACATACCAACTTGGCATAGCCCTCACTTTCCTCTCTTACAAGGTTGAATTTAGTTTGCTGATAAAGAAGTCGTGTGTTGACTCTGACCTGTTGCCATTTATGTCAAGCGACAATTAAAAATGATGCAGTAAACAGGTAAAGAATGGGACTGTGCAAAATAAGAAGAATGGTGCCCAGGAACCATGTTTAATAGATATCGGCAATAATGTGACATGGTACATTGTAATTCATGTGAGCACAAACAAAAACATCAGCAAGCAATTATCGCGCGTGATAACAATATGCATAGTATTAGTATGTGACACATACCTCCTTGGCTTTTAAATCCTGGCCTTTTGACTTACTCAGTTCAACCTCCCATAGGAACTCTTCCTTCAAATGTGCACATACAGGAAACAGAGACAGCATGTGTCAGCTGCCTTGAATCATGAAAAGGTGGTTTGGAGAAAGATATGGTACCCTAGTATGACGAAAACAAATACTCACGTCACATCGCTCTTGAAGAAGCCTAGGCACAATCAATGAAGACTCCACGAGTGACTTAGTCTGCAGCCAAGAGTATTTATAAGGAAATTAGTGAGCAATAAATCCTCCACCCAAACAAAGTAGGGCACCAAGAAGATAGATAGCCATTTGCATTGGTAAAGATATGAATAGGTGTAGAAGTATTAAAAGAAATTGTTACCATTTTGACAAGACGGCTGCGATATTCACCAGAAATGGTAATCTGCACATTACTACAGGTCAGATCATCAACTAGGAATGCAGCACTCGATGATTACAAGGAAACAGCAACACAAGGAACGGAATGGTAAATCCAGATTACATGATTCTGAAATAAATGCATCTTGAATTTAGGATAGATTCGTTCACTAAACCACAAATCCCTGAGTGACACTCCCCGTCGCCTGCCTCCAGCCATCAGGTACCAGTCAACTATTGGGTGACTCCTAGATGACAATGATCTTGGCAACTGTTTTCTGGTATAGATCCATAACTCCTAGATAGAAAGCTAAACGTTCCCACTCTATAATTCAAATAATAATGAATAAGCTTGCGCTCTCGACCATTATAAGGTTTGCTAGTGGTATTCCAAGAGCTGGTAGTTTCATGTTCATTAGAAAGGGCATAATTTATTTACCCCTTTTCCTGCTACAACTTCAGCAGGATACTTTTTCCAAACATAGCCTTTAGAACTTGTTCAGAGCTACCACATGCTATCACTACCAGTGAGACATCTATGCATCACGGAAACATCTTACAATTCAACTAGGTTGTCACTTCAGCTGGCACAGCAAGTAACACAGACAACAAACTGGCCAATTTCAGCTAAGCATTGCATTACAGTGCTATGCTCAATGGCGAATTGTCAAATCAGGCACACTTCATCGAGCCAATCGTAACAAACTAAGCACCACACAGCAGCAAAAAAAGGACTCAGAATACTCACATCCTGCCCTAGGTGCGCGACGATGTCGGCAAGCACGGAGCCGGACTCCTCCTGCCGCGCCTCCTCCACGAACACCACCGAATCCAGCGCCGCCCGGCACTTCTGCGGCGGCAGGTCCCCCCGCACCTGCAGAGCCCAACCAGCGCAATCAGCCCCAGAATCACAAGCCAGCCAACTCGGCTCGCCGAGCAAAACCTAATTCGCGGCAGCAGCGCAGGGAGCTCACCATCGCCCAGCAGAGCTCGTAGAGGAAGCGGGCCCTGGGGACCGGATCCGGGAGGCGGAAGGCGGCGGCGGACTGGCCCTTCCATTCGCGGAGGCACTCCTCGGTGACGTACCTGTAGTCCGGCGCCTGGAGCGGGGGCGCCATGGCGGGCGGGCGGGCGCGGGTGCTGGGGGCAGGGTTTTGGAGGGGAACTAGGGTTTCATG